TGTGTTGGCTGACCCGATGCCCGATCTGCTCTTTGAGGCCTTTACTCTCACCGTGGGCACAGTACCGACGGTGTGCCCGGCAGTGCAGAGCGGATTCAGGTGTGAGCACACCAATGAGCAAGCAGGTTAACAAAGTTTGTCTACTTTGCCAGAGAGTGTGCAAGGGAGAATGAGCATGCAGCGTGCTCGCCACCCGCGCGGCTCCTCCTCCCCGCTCTCTGGGCCTCAGCATAGTGGGCGCGGGGCCAGGAGCCCGCTCTCCAGCCAGCAGGGCCTCGGTGGGCTCCAGCAGCCAGGCGCAGCGCCTGGCCGCCCGACTGTGCTGGCCCTCGGGGATGAGGCCGCCGGGAGTGCAGGTGTGCGGGGCTGCCCGCGGCCAGTGGCTGGCCAGACCACGCTTTCACTTCCCACGGCGGCAGCCCCAGGCTGTTCGCTCTTTCTTTTTATTTTTCTTTTGGAGAGGTTTTTTTTTTTGTTTTTTGTTTTTTTTGTTGTTGTTGTTGTTGTTGTTATAGGATATGTGTGCTCGCCAGACAGACAGAGAGAGACAGAGAGACAGAAAGCGAGAAATCACCCCCCAGGGGGATGGCCACACCACACTCCCTTCTCCTCCATTCTCCTCTCGGGATCTTGGGCACGCACGCACACATGCCCGGCAGGAGTTTAAGCCACTGGGTCCGGGACTTGAACCGCGGTCGACTACGTGGGAGTCCAGCAACATAGCCATTATGCCAACTGCTGGTCCCGGCTGTTTGCTCTTTCTGGAGGAAGACTGGGAACACGACAGAAGTGACAGGGCATCATATGGTGCCATTTAAGGGCCTTAGCTCGCGGGTCACCGTATGGGAGCTGGAGCTCGCATGGCCTGCTGGGTTCTGGATCCCGGTCCTGGCAGTCCGGGCGGCTCCAAGGATTCAGTGGGCAGAGAGGCAGAGGACAGGGGTCACGACCACACCCGCCCTGTGGGGCTGCGCTGTCCTCTCTGGCTGGACCTCTGTGGCAGGGCAGCCCCACAGTGCGGTGCCGTGTCGGGGGTGAGTCCTCGGGGCTGACGTGCTGTCCCCTGACTTTCAGACGGGGCGTCAGTGGGTGTGAAGTCGGTGGCAGAATGCAAACGGAGCTGAGATGGCCAAGCCGGCTGTGCGGCCTTGCAGGGTCTCACCTGCGGAGGAGCCACTCCTCTGCCTTTGTCGCCATCATTTCCGGGGGGAGGAGAGTCCGCAGGGAGCCGACTGCTGGGGGCTTAGCCGAGCAGGTGGGAACCCGCTGGAAGGCCGTGCTGCCCATCCCTCAGCGCGTGGCGGCTGGTGCCTGCCGTGGCCAGGGCCCTTCTGGACGGAGGTTAGTAGGAGACAATCGGCCAAGTCCCTGTCCTCACGCGCTGTCACGTTCGGACTCCCCATCATCTGCTGCCCTGAAAACTCGCCTCATGGTTACTCAGCTGTAGCGACCCCAACCTTCACTTGGCGTTAGCAGTGCTGTGGTGGTCGCCATCCGGCGCTGCCTGTCTCAGACCGCTGGGATCCCAGCGTCCTTCATCCTCATCTTCACGCTCACAGAGGCCCGCGCTTCCTGACTGCCTGCATGCGCCCTGCCCCTCGGCACTTGCCCAGCCTCCTTCTCTCCCTGCCTGATCGCCGTAGCACACCCCTCGACTCCCCTTCCCCTTTCTTTTTGAAAAGGAGAGTCTTGTTGCCCCAAACCTCCGGCCTGAGCCTCACAGCTGGGACGACAGGTGCATGCCACCTCGGTATATTACCCAGGCCAGCCGGGACTCGCCCCTCCTGCCACGGCCTCCGCAGTCACCGGGTTATGGATGTGTGCCGTGGTGCCCAGGGTCCTGCCGTGGCCTCCGCAGTCACCGGGGTGGCAGGTGTGTGCAGTGGTGCCCAGGTTTCGGGCTGGACCAGCTTTGTGTTTCCTGGCCCTCGCTTTGCAGCTGTAGTACCGAACACCTTGTGATCTCCGCAGCCATCGCAGGACTGCTCGTCCTTTCCTCCCTCCTCCTCTCCCGCTCCCTGTATAATGTCTGCTGATCCTTTAGCTGAAAGACTCCCTCGTGGAGCTTCCCTTACCGCTCGGGTGGGCTGACCATCCCGAGCAGTATGCAGTGCCCTGTGTTGGTTCGCCTTCACCACCAAAATGCGGTCTTCCTGGGGCAGAGACTGCAGTTCCGCCACCTTCTCCATGTCTGGTGCAAGGTTGGGTGTTTTGTAATGAGAGCGGGATGAATACGTGACTGAAGAGGGGGATAGAGCAAAGTCCGAATAGAGAGAACTGGGGCGCAGAGATCCTGATGCTAGGAGGAGACAGGGACGCAGTCTCCAGAGGGACAGTGCCTGGGAGGCAGCGGCAGACACAGTGTGAGGGACACTGCAACACGGTGCCTGAAGGAGAGCACGTGGCGAAGTGGCCGAGTGACCTGCCTGGGAAATCTGTGTGCGGGAGCAGAGGGTATGAAGGTCACACACGTGCATGTGGCAGCACACGCGTGTAAACGTGGAAGAGGCCCGGTCCCGCTATGGTACGGAGCCGGGAAGGTTCCAGCTAGCCTTTCACATTTTATGTGTAGAGAAAGAAAACGACAAAGAGGTAAGAGATTCTTATCAACACACGGACCCTCTGGATACAGAGAACGCGTGAGACTCCCCGGCCTGCTTCGCTCTGCCCTCCCTGACGTGGAGAGTGCTCCACATGCACAGAGCGGGAGGAAGGAGACTAGGAGGTGGACGTCGAAGCCCAGCGTCGGGGCGGAGATCGGGCTAGAGCTTCTGTTGCTGTGCATGAGCTCAGAGCTTGGTGAGATCCAGACAGGGCTTGCTGCTGTCCCCACCGAGCTGGCGGTCCTCGAGGGCCCATGGTGACCGAGAGCGTAGGTGACTGGAGGAACGAGGGTCTCAGTGAGAAAGGATGTCGGGCCCGTCGGTCTCAGTGGACTCGGTGTTGCCTCCACAAAGACCTGAGATCATTTTTAAAGATTTGCAGATACTTATGGAAAGGAAAGAGGGCCATGTAAGGTGGTGTGGCTCCCTGAAAGGAATTCATCCCAGATAAACCAGCGTCCCCTTCCAACGGGGACGTCACTGTGCAGATGGGCAGAAAGCTGTGCCCTCGTGTCTAGATTGCTGTGGTGTATGTGACCATGGCTCTCTTCCTTCATTCACCATGGCGTGTGTGAGCAAGACAGCCCTGCACCCAGCCAGGATCGGGTGTGTGCGCGTCCACATGCTCGGCGTGTTTCGGGGCGGCTGGGCCGGGGTCCACCCCTGCGGTTGGCCCTGTGGCTGCCAGCTCAGCCGTACGTCGCACTGCAGAGCCTGCCACCTAGGCCGTGCCCACAGGCTGTGTCTTCCTGTTCTCGGGGATTCCCGGGAGGACCGGGCGATAGCGTCAGTGCAGACGCTGAGCAGCAGGCTCCGTCTTGCCTTGCCTACTCACTGGCAGTGGCTTGGGAAGTCTGTTTCTAAGCCTGTTACCCTCATCAGCGTGACACCTCCTCCACACTTGTCACTCTCAGCCGCTCATCTGCTCCACGTGTCACCGAGAAAACAGGAGCACCCAGAAGGAGGAGGCGGTGGTCCTCCGCTGCAGACACTAGCCTTCCTGCATTCATGCTCAGGACTCAGCACCCTTACACCGCTAGACAGCTCGGACCCTCTTTGCTTTGCCTGCTTGTTCCTGAAACGATCTCTGCTCATTCTAGTCCCACCCGTCTTCCTTTCTCCGTTGGAGAAGCGTGCTCCAGCTCATCTACCAACGTGCTCTAGTGTCAATCCTTGTTAAAAATAAAGTAAGGGGTCAGCAGGTGGTGTGGTGGTGAAGGTGCTGGACTCCGACATGATCTACTGTGATACAGCAGCTTAAAAATCACACTGGGTACGTGTGCACGTGTACCCAAAACCCCAAAAGGAGAATGGAGGACAAGGGACCGTAGAGGGGCTGTCCCATCTGGGGGGGTGGTGATTTCTCACTTTCTTTCTTTCTGGTGTCCACACACACCTTGTGGCAAATGCCTAAAATAAATCTATATTTTTTTAATTTAAGAACTATTTTATTTATTTATTTATTTACTTTTTGGAGATGTTTTTGCTATAGGGCATGTGCACTCGCCAGACAGAGAGAGACATAGAGACAGAAAGCGAGAAATCACCCCCCAGGGGGGATGTTCACACCACAATCCCTTCTCCTCCATTCTCCTCTCAGGATCTTGGGCACGCACGCACACGCGCCCGGCGTGAGTTTTAAGCTACCGGGTCCGGGACGCGAACCACGGTCAACTACGTGGAAGTCCAACGACATAGCCATTACGCTAACTGCTGGTTCCCAAGTGTGCTTTTGAGATTTTTAAAAAAGTTGACAGTGTCACATCACATAGGAAGACTGGCCACTGATTTTTAAATGAGAACTTATCTGTGTTTACTATTGCTTTAACATGTTTGTCTTTTTTTTTTCTTTCTTTTTTGCAGGTGAACCTTTATTCTAAGAATATTCATTTCATCTGGTTTATGAACCCGAATTACATAGACTCTAAATGTCACAGAAGTATTGAAAAGCTGGTGAGTATCTAGTGTAATGAATATTAGAAATCAAAATATTGTCCTGGATTCCTCGGTCGAGGGCTTTGAAACTATCGATGCGGGGTTAGGTGACGTTGATGAAGCCCGCTGTGAGAACAGTGACGGTCTCCCGAGTGCGGAGGCGTGCAGAGGGACAGCTCCTCGCACAGTGGCGTAGTGCGTGAGTGTACAGCCGTGAGCATAGTGGGGAGAAGGACAAGGTACACAGTGGGAGGCCACCGCTGCGCCATGGCTAGGGCCACATGGAAGGCCCAGGCCCGTTTGCAGCCCAGCCTGAAACGCTCAGCCTGATGGCACACACCTGTGGTCCTGGCCAGCTAGGAGGCCGGGACGGCCGCAGTACAACACAGCTGTACTGAGAATACCACCTCTCCCTCTCCTTCCCACTCTCACACATTCTTGCTCTCATAAAAATTAAAAGTAAGTAATACAGAATGTGTAATGGAGGAGATGGGAGTGCAGTGTGGCCATCCCCTTTGGAGGATGGTTTCTCACTTTCTGTCTGACTCTAGTGAGTGCAAGCACACTGTAGAAAAAAGCTCTCTCTGAAAAAAAGGATATATATATAATTTACTAATTATATACATTTTTAAAGTAATCAAAACAATACTGAATACTTTATAGCCATAAACATGTAAAGCATACAAACCTGCGTGGGCATGACAAACACCAATGGGGAGGTGCAGGGGCACACGTGTGTGTGAGGCTCGTGTCTTTACACGCGCAGACCCGGCCCGCTCAGCCCGCCTGACCAGGCTCTCCAGGTGCGTCAGCACTGCACTGCCTTACTCTTGAGCTTTAGATGTTCTCTGGAACTTGCTGGCCTCATCTAGGAAGCTCAAGAAAGCACCAGCACCAGAATCCACACAAGGCAGCGGCTTTGGGAGAACCACGGGAGAACTGCGGGAGCCTGCGTGAGGAACCCTGCTGGCCCAGAGGGTGACAAGCAGGAGGCAGCAGGATAAGGGAGCATCGGGCACCGTGGGATGCAGCACGTTCTCTTTCAGTGGCGTGCTAAATAGTCATGTGTTCTCCAACCAGTGACAGATAGCGGTAGTACATTAATACAGTTAGATGGATAGGGACTATGAATTAGGTTACCTGACACTCCCTGAAGAATTTTACTTTATGAAAGCTTATAAAGAACCAGTATTGGGGGCCAGCAGGTGGCATGGTGATTAGGGTGCTGGACTCCCAAATGGCTAGTCGCAGTTTGAATCCCAGACCTGGCGGCTGGCTTTATCACTTTCCTGCTCTCTTTTTCTCTCTTTGATGACTGTAGCAAGCTAATAATAATGAAATAAGGGACCAGCAGATAGCATGGTGATTAAGGCACTGGACTCCCACATGGTTGGCCACGGTTCAAGTCCTGGACTTGGGTTCTTGCTTTGTCACTTTCTCTTTCTCTCTCTCTGTTTCTCTTTGGTGAGTGCAAGTGCCCTGTATCAAATTTAAATAAATAAATAAATGAAATTAATTCTTTAGAAAAACAAAAATAATAAAATAAACAATTATTTTTTAAAGCAGTATTACATATAGTAGAGGTTATTGTTGCATTTTGGAATTATGATCGATGTCCTTTTATACTTTTCTTAATGATCAGGTATGTCACCTGTGACATTATTTGTTATACTGTGAGGGAATTTTCTTGAAATGATACTACAGTTCTAGTGGGAACCCAAGAATTAAACTACCAGGCACTGAAGCGAGCAGGGCCCGAGGTGCATTAGGGTTTCTCTGGGCTCTCCGTTTCCATCCATCTGCTTTTCTTACATCCTGTTGCTTATTTTTATCTGGTTGGCTCTTCCTGAGCCCCAGACCCTGGCGATGATGGCCAGACCCACCTCTGGGACCTGTCAGCACCCCAGGATGCCCCTCGTGCTGCCCCGAGAGCACAGGCCTGTGCACCCGGCCTCTGCAGCGGCGCGGTGTGAGCAGCATGTCGGCGGCGCTCCCACGGACTGCCCTGAGTCAGGTTTCAGTGTCCAGGGCCCAGGGCCTGACTGGCCCTGACAACACTCGGTCCTGCGGCCCACTGCCCTCTGGCCCTCTGCGGGCTGTGGGGCGAGCGTCCCTGGACGGATGACTGAAGACCAGGCAGTGCCGTCTGGTGTAACTTGGTCTCTCTGGGTAGCTGGTATAGGTTACTAGAGCTCTCGCGATTGCTTTTCGTCCTAAGATGGAGCTGTTTTGAAACAGGGTTTGGTCCAGGATTTTTCCTTTGAATACTTAACGCATTTTCTCTGTATTAGGCTGTCTCCCCTCTTCTGCCTGCCTTACCTTAATATTTGTCTGAACACCAAAATGTCACATCGCCCTTTCTTTGATTCAGATGCGCAGTAAGAAGGGAGCGGCGTAACTCATCTGCTAGAACACTTCAGCCTTTTATTTTTAGAAGATTTTGCTATAGAGCGCGTGTGCTCACCAGAAAGACAGAGACAGAAAGCGAGAAATCACCTCCCAAGGGAGATGGCCATGTCGCAATCCCTTCTCCTCCAGTCTCCTCTTGGGATCTTGGGCACACACGCACACGCACCCAGTGTGAGTTTTAAGCCACCGGGTCCGGGACTCGAGCTGCGGTCAACTACATGGGAGTCCAGCGACATAGCCATTACGCTAACTGCTGGTCCCAGAACACTCCAGTTTTTGCTCACCTGCTGGGACATCCCTTTTTTCCTTCCCTGCTCACTGAATTCTGGTATTTGGGAAGAGTGGACCAGTGATGTCTTTACCGAGTGAGGACCATTTATGTATCTGAAAGACCCATTTAGCGGCTTTAAGCACATAAAGGAAAAACGCTAAGCAGCGGTGGGTCTCTGCCCTGAGCAAGGGGGAATGCTGGGCCCACGCGTTGGAGCCTCCCGTGGGCGCTGCCACTTTTCTGTTCTTGGTCTGCTCAGACGTTTCAGCCCTGACTTCTTTTTGCCCAGGCAGGAGCTGTGTAAGGAGCAGGAGGTCAGCTCTATGCAGGGTCAGGTGACAGTACCTGCATGTCATGTCACACACAGCAGCACAGCACGGCCTCGCAGGTGCACTGTGGCTTCTCTAATCTTTGTAATGCTTTTCCCTAGCTCGGTCATGAGCACCGACAGCAACTCGCTGGCACGTGAATTTCTCACTGATGTCAACCGGCTTTGCAATGCGGTGGTTCAGAGGGTGGAGGCCCGGGAGGAAGAGGAGGAGGAGACGCACATGGCGACCCTGGGCCAGTACCTTGTCCACGGCCGAGGATTTCTCTTACTGACCAAGCTGAACTCCATCATTGATCAGGTGACGTTTCATCTCCTCACGTTTCCGTCAGCGCGTTGATGGCATACGGTTCCACGGCTTCTGGGTCACGTAGTCTCACCTGTTGTTTAGCCATCTGGGTGTACGCGCGTGCCTTCCTGTGAGAGTTCTTGTGTGCCTGTGTTGTCGTTTCCCCTGGGTAAGTGTCTAGGCATACGGTCGCTGAGTTAGAGGCAGCGTTTGCTGCAGAAGAAGCTGTGAAGCTGTTCTCCAGAGCTGTGCTGCTTTTCCTGCTCACCCAGTGACGCATGAGACTGCCAGCCACCCCCACCCCCGCCTTACGGTAGCACTGGCCTTCCAGTATGGCCGTCCTAAGGGATGTGAAGGGGTAGTTATCAGTTTTAGTGGAAATGTTTTCATGTGCTCTTTGGCTTTTTTTTTAAGGAATTATTTATTTATTTTATTTGTTATTATTTATTTTTTAATTTGATCAGAGAGAGAGAAAGGGAAAGTGAGAAAGCGAGCTACCAGGTCTGCAATTTCAATCATGGTAGCCACATGGGAGTGCAGCGCCTTAACTACCGCTCCACCTGCTGGTGCCTCTCTTTGGCTATTTTTATATATTTCGTGAGTGTTCAAAGTTCGAAAGGTCAACCTGTTTCTAAGGTCAGGTTGTTTGTTTACCATCTGGTTGTAGCAGTTCTGTTTTAAATTGAAGTTTGCTGGAGGGTGTGTCAGTCACCAGAGAGAGAGAAAGGGGAAGAAAGTGAGAGATCACCCCTCGGGGTGTGGCCACAGCACAGTCCCTTCTCCTGGAGATTTTGGGCATGCATGCACACGTGCCTGTTATTTTTCAAGCCACTGGGTACAGGACTCGAACCACGTGGTTGGCTGTGTGGACTCCATGTGCTCTAGTCTCCGTGCTGCCACAGAGACCAGGCTTCGTCGGCTGGTGAACATCTCCTTTGTCCATGCTTGCTGTTTCGTTTTGTAAGTGTCACTGGAAGTGCAGGTTTTTTTGTTTTTTTGTTTTGTTTTGTTTTGTTTTGTTTTATTCTTTTATAAATAGTGCATTCTTGTGCCCTAAGAAATCTCTGTATTGCAACCTCCAAGTTGCAAAGATGTTCTTCTGTTTTTATGTCCATTTTCCTTTCTGAAAGCTTTTTAATTAGTGCTTTTACCATTAGGTTTGTGCTCTATTTTGAACTTGTGTTTTGTAAGGTAGGAGTTACGGTCTCTTTTCCCTTCTCCCACATAGTTACTCAGTTGTTCTACCAACCTTTCTTCTTGAAAGTCTGTCCCTTGCTCATTGAATGTCCTGGGAGAGGTATAGTCTCAGTAGGGACTAGTGCAACACTCTAAATGTAGTAAAGGTAATAAAGGACTTTAGTTCACTGCACTAGCTCTGCAGTTCCCACTCACACACATACCAAGATTTCTCTGTGTACATGGGCCTGGCCGGAGTGCGAGGGTGAGGGGGTGCCATGTCTGTGTCTCTGGGGTGCGTAGAGTGCGACCACAGCGGAACTGTGTACCAGCCAGCAACATGCTGCCGCAGAGCGTGGGCAGTCCAACGAGCTACCTCCTTCACCAGTGCCACGCGATGGGGCAGTGGGCCTGTCAGTCAACTGTGGTACAACAGACCACGCCCCAGAACTTGGAGGCATAAAACAATAAGGACTCACTTGCTCAGACTCTGAGTTGGCAGCTCAAATAGGGCTCAGCTGGAAGAGCCCCCACGGCTCCTCGTGGCATCAGCCAGGCTCGCCCGTGGGTTTGCAGTCAGTCGGCAGATCGACCGAGGGCGGTTGGCCAAGCCGCCTTAGGGTACATATGCTCTCCTGAGAGGACAGTGGAGAAGGGATTGGGGCTGGCCATGTCCCCAGGGAGTAACCTCTCGCATTCTCTCCCACCCCCTTTCTGGTGAGCACATGTGCCCTAGAGCGAAATGGGAGAAATTCCCATAGAAGGAATGAAGGGCTGAAAGTAACCGGACCTAGGGCGGCTCCATGGGGTGGCGTGACGTGCTGCTCGGGAGACGCTGGCTCAGACCCCAGCCTGGGCCGTGGAGATCCCGTGGACCTAAGGCCTGGTGGGCAGAGCCCGGTGTGCCTGGATCCTGTGGGGTGCTCCCCGTCGCTGCCCCAGTTCTCTCGTGCACGCTCACACTCGCTGTAAATGCAGGAAACGGTACTTCAGCAGTGTGCATGCTTGCGTTCCTGCCTGTACGGGAAGACTGAACTCACTCAGCATGTCAGAAAGCTGACTAAAGCAATGCCCGTAATACCTATTAAAATAGCCCACTATTAGACTACCCCGTGGCTCCCGTCGCCTTCTGGGTGCAGTGTGGCTGCTGAGCTCGTCAAGGGCTCCCACCCTCTCGCTGCCCACCTCTGTGGCAGCTTCCTCAGCCCCTGCCCAGGCCGGGGCTCAGCCGTCTCCCTACGTTAGCTGCCCTTTCCCACCCATGCTACTGCTCCCTGGCTGAGGTAGGAGACGCCAAGTCCCATCCAACCAGTGAGCCAGCTGTGAGAAGGGCCGGCGCGGGTGCCTGCAGGTTTCCTGAGCTAGGTGTCTCAAGTTGGACATTTACTCCCTCCACAGAGGCGACTTTACTGTTGCTGTTGCTATGGGAAGTTCCAGAAGGTGTGACACAGTCATTTCCTGCAGAAGGGGGGATTGCAGAAGGGGGGACGTTAAGTGTTAAACGAGGAGGTAGGTAAGGTACCGACAGCTTCCGTGGCTGGACCATCTAGAAATAGCTGGGGAAAAGTCTGGATGGCATTTGTTGCCTACCCTGGGAACTTTGCTCTCCGATGGCACGAGGGAGTGACATGAGGGGACACCCATTCCCCTGCATAGGGCAACTGTCATGTGTGCTTAGGACCCTGGGAGAGAAAGCTAGCACTTAGCTTGAAATAGCGGGCTGCAAATTTGGGGTTGCCAGGTGCCCACAAGTGAAACAGATTTTATGACTTCCAAAAGGAAAGGATTGCATTCATGGCTCTTTGGGATGAGAAGGGGTAAATAATAAATATGAGGATATGACACCCAGGAAGGACCCGGTCCAGGGGCAGAGAGAGAGCCTCCCTGATGAAGTGTCACGGGAGAGACGAGGCGGCAGAGTGACGTGCGTGCTCTTCCCCGCAGCACCGGGCCACGGGTGGCACGGGCGTCCTCAGCACTTGTGCTTCCAGCATGAGGCAGACCCCAAATCCGCTTGTTTCAATTTCATTCCTTTGAAA